CTCCATTGGTGCTTGAAGTGATTTCAACTCGAGATGGTTTTCGTTTCTCATGTTCAATGTCATTCAAATTACGTCCGACGTTATTTCAACGCGAGACGATTCTTTCTCCTTACGTCTAGCGCCATTCAAATTACGCTTGACATGATTTCAACTTGAGACGATTCTCTCTCCTCACACCTAACGTCACCAATCCTACATCCATGCCTAGGTGAGACAAAACCATTGATTGAAACCACGCCCGACACCCTGAAGGCACGTTCAATGTGATATTAATTCTACACTTATGCAGAACTTGATCTTGGGTCATCCCACCTTAAATTCAACAACTTTCCAACATGTATTACACAAAACAACAACTATACAACATGCACAACATGATTTTTTGATAAAAAAAAACAACATGCATGATGCATCCATTAGAATTATGAATCACTACTTCTTCTTTCAAACACAACCAAAACCCAAACCCCACACATACATCATCTCAGTTTAGATTTTCAATCCGAAACATACACCAATAACGCAACCAAACAACAATTCATTAGCATACAATCCAACACAATCCACATAAGCTTCCCTTACTTCTTGTCGATCCCAAATCTAAAAAGAAGAGACAAGAAGAGTAGATTTGTACGACTTCCAACTTGAGATTCCAAGCTCGAAAACTCAAATTCTCTAGCTAGTTAAGTGAATCAACTATAGGAAGATAATGAAAGTTTTCATAAGAAGAGGAGGTTTTTAGTTCTAGAAAATTTCTCTCTAACTTCTCTCTAGAACTTTCTAAAACATGAAATTATGAACTCATTTTAAAAAAAAAAAAAAACCTTGATATACAATTTTTTGAACTGATTCAATTTATATATGTTTTAACTATCCTAGAGGCCAACTTAATTCTTAGAGTCGCTTGACTCTAGAGTTCTTAAATAACACCATTGATAATAACTAACAACTAAACAATCATAATTATACAATTAAATTAAAACATTATAAAATCATCAGTATTACATAAACTCCACCAACACGAATGGTAAGAGCCGTAGAAAACTTTAGTCAAATTGTCATGTACAATGAAATTGAAGGCGGCACCGCATATACACCACGTGACTGTTAAGAAATGTCAACATGCGAAGAAAAATAAAATTAAGGTTAAGATATTTCATTATTTTATATTTTATCATAAAAATATTTTTACTCCTTTATTCTTTGAAATAGATGTTTTATTTTATCATAAGAATTACTTATGAATAGATCAAGTTATAATTTTTTTTATAAAATTTAAAAATTATTTAATATTTTATTATATTAATAAGGAAACTTTATACAATATTAAAAAGTATATTCACATAATTTTTTTCATGTAACTTTTTTATTTATTTATCATTTTTAATGATTTTTTACATATTAGTTTTTTAACTAATATTTTAGAATATTGATTAATAAGACTTTTTATGCATAACATCATTTAAGTTTCTAAAAGTGTAAATCGTTAATACTTTAGTTTATATTAATAGAGTTATTTTAATTTTATTTCCAGTGATTAAATTAAATTGTCACTGATATACATTTTTAAAAGACTTGAATGATATTTAGAACATGTTTGAATAATTCTCTGAAATCAATGTCCCAGAATCACATCGATTAGTGAAAAAGCTAGTGTTTATTATTTTTATTGAATATAGAGGAAGAGATAATCCATATTTTCGATGTAATTTCAAACACACTTAAGTGTATGGACTTCCGGGTTCCGGCGTCTGTGGATACTTGATCAGACATTAAATTAATGTTGTTAAGTGGACTTTTGTGTCTCTAGATCAACACTACAAAAACCTGATGTGGGATAAAAGCATGCGGGGATAGCTCAGTTGGGAGAGCGTCAGACTGAAGATCTGAAGGTCGCGTGTTCGATCCACGCTCACCGCATTTTTTTAATTTGGGTTCTCTTTTTTAAAAATAATTAAGAAAGCATGTGTAGAAAAAATGTCTTATTAATTCACCAACCACAACCACCCATAGATAGGGATGGACAAAATGAACTGAACTAAACTAAACTTATAAAAATTATAACTGAACTGTTATGATATTTTGAATTGAACAACTTTAACTCATTAATCTATCAAAATAGGACACATTTGTCAACTTTACTTTATTTTCCATTTTATTTAAGTTTTTCAAAGGAAAAAAAATATAAAATCAAGTCAAACAAACTCAGTGAATTTTAAGCCTAAAAATAAGTAATCCAATATAGCTCAATTAATCCGTTAGGTTCGACAAAATTGATACAATTTTTTTTTGGATCACTTTTTTTCTTCAAAGTTTTGGTCATTAGACTATCGAATTAATCTATTAAGACATAACATGTTAGACACATTTAATTTTTATCCTTTTATAAAAATAGTTCAATTTTTATAATTCAGTTCAGTTTTATAGTTCAATACAGTTCAAATTTCTAACAGTTCAGTTCAGTTCAGTTTTTTTAAACAGTTCAGTTCGTTTTTTTTTTATTTATAAAAAGTTCAATTTTTTATAGTACGGCTCAGTTCAGTTCACCACCAGTTCAGTTCAGTTTTTTTTGCCCACCCCTACCCATAAAGGAAATGCATCATGCCACGTAGATAATATACCATGTTCAAATGTTATATTTATAACTTTTTAAAATATTTTTGATAAATATCTCATATATTATTAATCAGTGGAGTTGAGGTATGAAATATTTTGTGCATAACATTGGTGTCATATAAGCAGTGACTCATTATTTATTGTGAAGGATAAAATGAAAAAAAAAGCTAATTAAAAAAATTATTATGTAGTTAGTAAAATTTCAATACTTAAAAAGATAAATAATTTAGATCTTTTGATAAAACAAAAACGGGATAAAAAGGTTCATATGAAAATGAAAACCAAAGTAGTTATGAAAAACGATTTCCCTTTATATAATAGTATAAATAAAAATAGAGATGCATATATAATTAAATGATTTTAAAATAGAAATGCACTATTAGAATTATTTTAGTGGTTGGGGTAGAAGCGAGATGATTTAGGTTCGATTCTCGTTGTGTGTTTGTAATTTTTTTATAGATTAAAAAGAGTTATTTTAGTTATGTTGGTCTAAATGACATTAAAGTAATCTCTATAAATATGTCATTGTAGGTTGACATAAATGGTTCAATATCCAATTCGAACTTGTGTTTCCCATGATATAGGTTCGACATCCTCTGTGACCATTCAATTATATTTTGTAGACATACATATTCAAGGAGATTTCTTGGCACTAAAGATGAAATTTCTCTGATGGATCTCTATTGACCGTTAGTTTAACAAGTAAAGTCATGAGTTAAATTAAATATTATTAAACTTCGACTAACTACAATAGTGCTTAGTTTGAGGATTTTTAACATGTCATTGACTCATTATCTGATAGTCTTGGGGTATGATCTTTTATCTACCATTTTACTCATAAAAAAATCTTCATGAATATAGTTTTTTTTATTGTATTATGATTTTAATTTATTTTTTAAGATAAAAAGTATTTGTTAAATATTGAACTAATAACTATCAAGTCCTTTGTTCAAGTGATACTAATCTCAGTCTTTTAAGCAAGATTTAAAGTTCATGTTTTATAGATTGAAAAAATGTAATTGAAAAAGGAGATTTTATTAAAGGTGATCAGTTTGATTCTTTAACAAAAATTAGTTATTGACAAGGCCGTCGAATACATCATACCTACCAATAAATAAATAAATAAATTGAACTAATAATAAAATTTTTATTTAAATAAAAAATTAGTAAAATAATAATTAAGCTACAAAGTAATATACATATTCAAACTTTAAAATTTTCTACCAACTTTAAGTTATTGAACTAAGTTTTACATATTCTAGTTGACGGAACTATATTTGGTGAAATAACAAGTTAATACTCTAATTCAACCAACTCCAAAATTAATATTAATAATAAAATACTAATTATGTATTTGGTTGAGATATGTATTGATTATATAATTTATTTTAATATTATTTGAGGACATGTATTGGTCATATAATTTATTTTGATTTTAATTTTAAAATTTTTTAAATTAAAATTATACTAGTGATGGAATATTGGGAGTAATATGTACATAATAGTAGGTTGGAACTCTATTGCAGTTATTATAATTCATGTGGATAATTTTTTTTATCCAATTACCCAATTTACCCCTCACTAATTATATTTGATTGAGTTGAGTGTTAAAAATAGTGAAATCCAACTCAACTCGACATATTTACACTTTTAATTTACATATTTATTATTAAAAAATTTGTAATAATTTTTTTCATATAATAAATTAGAAAGATTAATTACAATCTTAACTATTGATGAAAAATTAATAATTGTCGGTACAATTTATTCTTTAAAATGCATTTTTCTCTCTGTAGATATATTAAATTTAACAAGAAACGACAATGCCGTACTAAAATTTGGCAAGAGAAAAAAAAAAAAAAAGTTGATTTCCCAGCTGTTCAGTTCAGTGGATGAGAGAGGAGAGAGAAGCACAGACAACTGAGAAATGTGAACGGTGGGAAACGAGGATATAATTATAAGGGCGTGGGAAGCCTTTGTGTGGCACAACTTAAATCAAATTACTCTAGTCTTAAGTCTTAACCCTACAATACAAGGGTGCGTGTGCTGCTAAATGGCGAAACTGAACGCAGTACACGCAGGATTCTCACACTTTAGTAGGTTCTGCCTAACTCATCTGTTGTTTCTGGAAGCAAAGGTTTGATTGCAACAAATTAACAAAATACAACAGAATGGGCTTAGTCCTCCCAATGCATGGCCCATTATCTTTAATGGTAAAAAAGCCCATAATAAAAAAAATGCGGTGAGCGTGGATCGAACACGCGACCTTCAGATCTTCAGTCTGACGCTCTCCCAACTGAGCTATCCCCGCAACACGTTAACTCCGTAACAATAGTTTTATAAATAGTAAATGTAAATATACTAACGTGTCACCTCTATCTTCTGAAACTGAAATTTAATACCTTGTCCTTATCGGAGACGTGTTTACAATTACTTGAAGACAGAGTCTCCACCTTCTTTGGCTCGTTTTCTCGTTGCTTCAGCCTGACAACTACCAAAGAATGGGAGGAAGTTCCAGTTTCAGGGACGAGTATACTTTCGGTGCGTTCTATTCCTCCTTCTTTCTCCCAACTCCTCTTATCAATTTTCATTCTTATTGTTATTAAGGGTTGACTTCTTTATTTCATGCCTTCACAGAGCAAAGGCTCGAAGAATCACGGGATATTGTGGCCAAATACCCCGATCGTGTCCCCGTAAGCCTTCTTCCCTTCAAAATTAGCAAATATTTATTTAATTAATCAATATTGATTTTCATAATTCTCTATTTAATCTCGGTTTGTGAATTGATGGATCCTTATTGCTCCGTTCATCATTGCACTGTTTATAATGAACGGTTCACGGTAACCGTAAATCGGTCATTGCATGACTCGATTCTTCTTCTTTTTCTTCTGCAGGTGATTGTGGAAAGGTATGCGAAATGCGATCTGCCTGAACTGGAGAAGAAAAAGTAAGATCAACCTGCATGATTCCAAAATTCAAATCACGATAATAATATGAGTTGAATTAGGAAGCACATGGGATTACATTTTACAAATGCATACATAAATTGAAATCATGATTACAATTTTTAATGTTTTTGATAGATACCTTGTTCCTCGAGACTTGTCTGTTGGGCATTTCATTCATATTTTGAGTTCCAGACTGAGTCTGCCCCCTGGAAAAGCTCTCTTTATATTTGTAAAGAATACCTTACCTCAAACTGGTAAACTTGCCCTACAAGCTCAGTGTTTTCCTTTTTTGTCTTCAATGTTGTTGTTGCTTAAATTTGTTGTGTTGTGATCTGCAGCTAGTATGGTGGACTCTGTCTATAGATCATTCAAGGATGAGGATGGATTTCTTTACATGTATTATAGCACCGAGAAAACCTTCGGCTCGTACGTGATGTAAATTATTGAACCCTGTAAACTATTATCCAACATTGACTCTGAATACTATCAAGAAATGTACAAATTTGTTGTATGGTTTTAACTTATCACTGTTTATTATATTATGATTAAAATTGCCAATACAATAAAGCGTGATTATGTTATGCCATTGAAATATTCGGATGATCTGGGTTTAGAATTCATGACCGTTGATCTATAGGAAACTGCCCCTGCTCGGCTTACTGTATCTGTACTCGTATCCTCTACCCCCCTAGAAATGGTGCAAGTATAGCATTGTAGCAGATAGTTGAAAAATTAGAGGTTAAAAGTTTCGAGACAGAAACTTTAATATCCTTGCTGAGTGCCAAAATGTCACAAGTTTTCTTCTTTTGAACACCCAGGCTAAGCCTAGCCAATTCGATTACAAGAAGAACAAACCAAACTGCTGCACCTATACGTACAAGTTTATAATTCCTTGGCGATATTGTCCACATATATCATTAATATAATGCATCCATCTTCATCAAAATCACGAACAATACGAATCTTTTAGACCAAGAACTTGTTTTTAGTATGAACATCCTATGCTTTTGACAAAGATTGGTTACATGTGGGTAAGTTGCACAGATGAAACCGGAGGAAAACCAGAAACTGAGGGTTTCCACAGGGCTGCTCTCAAGATTCGGAGCAGAAACTGAGTGGAAAATTCTACCAATGTCGCATGTTTCCCTCAATGAATCACGGGCAATTTTTCATGATGACATTATGGCTAGAATATAAATTTCAACTTGCTTCCCTCCAAATATGAACTCCTTATATGATGACAGTGGAATAAAGTGACCCTTTAGATGCGCTATATTCCTAAACATTGCTCTACGTTTTGAGGTATCAATTTCATATGGTTGATCACTTGATCCCATATCTTGTCACATAAACTGCATGAAAACCAGCGCATAGTCTTGATCATTTTGTTATGGTTTATGTCATCAAAAAGCGTTAGTATTCTCGAGGTGTCACCGTATCAGTATGATCGAAAACCTGACACTACTTAACATCAGATGGTAGGAATGAGAAGTTATTAATCATCATTGTATAATCTTCTGGAGCCTGAAAATATAGCATATAGCATCAACAATGACTTTTGATTACATCCAATCCAAATAGAAACAACTAAATTAACATAATGTTAACAACAAACCAAGCCGAATTTTTTAGGTTTCAAGCAAAAAGCTTAAATGTTGCAAATTGCAATTTTGACGTGATGTTATGATTTTGGAAAAACAAGATGACAAAGTCATTCTTAACATGTAAGTTTACCAACTCATGATAACACGAATGCAAGTACTGGAAAATTACTGAATGAATTGCTTTGTTCTCTTGCTTGGGGTTTTATTATTACTAAATTGTTCGGAAATTTTGTGAACACCCAAGCTGTTGCTTATCATTATCATCTATACATTGAGATTTCAACAATCTTTCTGTAAATTGTGATATACGCACCAAGTATCAAGTATTGATAATATCCGAAAGATTAATTTTAGATTAACATAGGCAAGTATGCTAGTAAAAAGAGGCAATCGAACGGAATTTTCAATCATTATCTCAGTTGAATAATTCAAGGATCCACCTCAAATTTCAACTCAAATGAGTTATAAATATAAATTGACTTTTAATTTATACCTCCAAGATACGAACGGACACTTCTTTACGTATTTTTTTTTTTGTCAAATTATCTATTACATGTAGTAAGAGTTACTTTCTCTCGTGACAAAATGAAATGTCCTAACTAAATTTTTCTAAAAGAAATCGTCTTTGCCGCTACCAGGTCCTCCATTTATAAATTGCAAATGCTGTTACATTTTCAAACTACATTAAATTAAATGCGATATGCAGCTATTAAGGAATGGAAACGTTCTCCGTCAGCTGAAGTGGTTGCTGCAGCGAATAGTCATTATCAACTATCAAGTAATATTCAATATCAAATACTAACAAAATAGAATGAGAGAGAGAGGTGGATATATAGTAATAGTATGAACACACGCATGAAGAAGAGTTCAAAGAGAGATTGCTTGAAGTAGCATCTAATACTGGAGGGTACAGCTAGGCATAGACACGTTTTGGTTTCAAAAGTAAGACCTACTCTCACCTCACAACCTATAAATATAATTCACCCAACCAAGTTCTCTCCACCTTCAGCAATCAACATACTTGCATTTGCATATCATTCACTCTCTTCCCGTTCCTTTCACAACTTGTTTATCATTAAAGGCTAAACCACACATCCACAACTTTGCACTGCCATTTCCATTCATAAGTTATATATATATAATGGCCAGAAGAGGAGGACACGTGCATGTAATGCTCTCTAGCATGGTTCTAATCCTCTCCGTTTTGCCATGGGCCTCGGCATCTCTGAAGGTGGATTTCTATAAAACTTCGTGTCCATCTGCAGAGGCAATAGTGAGAAGAGCTGTGAACAAAGCAGTTTCTCTGAACCCGGGCATCGCTGCTGGTTTGATCAGAATGCATTTTCATGATTGTTTTGTCAGGGTGGGTAACTACTTCGATCATCTTCATACCTCAATATATCACTTCATTAGTGCATGTGCATGTGCATGTGCATGTTTAGTGCACATTTCAAATTAAATAGTTACTTAAACAATTGCTATATATGGTATATGCAGGGTTGTGATGGTTCAGTATTGTTAGAATCCACACCGGGAAATCCATCAGAGAGAGAACACCCAGCTAACAACCCAAGTTTACGAGGCTTCGAAGTCATCGAAGAGGCTAAGGCCCAAATAGAAGCAGAGTGTCCTCACACTGTGTCGTGCGCAGACATTCTTGCTTTTGCTGCTCGAGACAGCGCTAACAAAGTTGGGGGCATAAAGTACGAGGTTCCAGCTGGACGCAGAGACGGTCGTGTCTCTATAAGAGACGAAGCGTCACAACTGCCTCGTCCAACCTTTAACGCAAAGGAGCTTATTAGTAACTTCGAACAAAAAGGGTTGTCTGCAGATGAAATGGTAACACTCTCTGGAGCGCATTCTGTTGGTGTCTCACACTGTTCCTCCTTCTCCGATCGCTTGTACTCTTCCAATGCTACCTTTGCTCAGGATCCCTCTATGGACCCCAACTTTGCTTCGTCCTTGAAAAACAAGTGTCCACCACGGAGCAATGATGATAACACAGTGGTGCTGGATGCTTCCACCCCGAACCGTTTGGACAACAAGTACTACACGGGACTCAAGAACCATCGTGGTCTGTTGACCTCAGATCAGACGTTGATGACCAGCCCCTCAACGAGGCCAATGGTGCTGACCAATGCAAAACATGCTTCAATTTGGGCACGTAAGTTTGCTAAGGCAATGGTGCATATGGGTTCCATTGATGTGCTAACCGGCTCACAAGGCGAGATCAGGACTCGTTGCAGCGTCCTTAATTAACTCTCCACATGCTTAATCCCTTCTGCTAAAACTCCTTTTATTCAATTGTTCATACCTGCAAATATATATGTCTTCTTTATTTATAATTTTTTTTTTTTGGATATAATGTGATTGATTCATTCTTTGATTTGTACTGTTCGGCCTTGGCCAATTCAATTGTATATTTTTAACTCAGTCAAATAAACACATGAAGAATTATGTTGGATTCCTTAAAAGATGTCTGCTTACAGATTTGTATTTTGGTCGCTGTCGCTGATTATTTATTCAATTGTCTAGACAAAAAATAATTGTCTATCCAAAATATAAAATGAGCTTATGATTTCAACTAATATCTATATAACATTCAAATGAGTTCTTTTTAAAAAATTTATATATAAAGTTTTTTTTATGAAAAACTTTCCCTAAATCCAAGTTATACTTTTATGAATTAATCACCTATATACTGCTAGTGTAAAGTTTTTTTATACTGGCAACCAATTAGATTTTTTAATTGTGTCATGTCACTATAAACACATTTATTTTTAACAGTGACATGACACAATTAAAAAATCTAATTAGTTATCACTATAAATTTTTTTTACACTGGCAGTGTATATGTGATTAACTCTACTTTTGTTATAGGCTAAAAACTTATTTTGGTCCTTTATAATAATTGTTTGTTTCAATTTAGTCTCACTTTTATTTTTGGTCTCAATTTGGTCCCTAATAAATTAATTGGTTGTAATGTCGGACTTCCGTCCAAATTATTTAAACAGAGTTAACTGTTGGCCACGTAGATGCATAGGTGGATGCCACGCAGATGCCAAATTTCTTGAAAAAACCTGAAACCAGAACGACCCGTTCTAAAACCAGAACGGGCCGTTCTGGGTGCACTCTTGGTGTGTTAATTTTGCATCTGAAACGGACCGTTCTAGATGCAAAATTAACACACCACGAATACAGCAGAACAGTCTGTTCTGAAACCAGAACGGGCCGTTCTGGTTTCAGAACGGTCCGTTCCAGAACGCCAACTTGTTAAATGAGGACAATAGAATATTTTATATTAATTTTATTTTTGAAAAATATTTTTTTATGGTAAAAATTTTTAAATTACTTATTTTTATAAAATACAATTGTCTTATAAATAGAGTGATAACTTTTCCTTTTTCTCTTTCTGTCTGAAGAAATATTTAAGTGTCACTTTATAATTTTTTGCAACTTATTTAAAATTAGAGGAATAAAATGATAAAAATTAATGGGATAAACATAATAAAATTATTAATTTATTTTCTTTTAGTGTCCTCTAAATTTTTACACTCATTTAAAACAAAAATATTTTATATGTTAATTTGAATTAATTTAACGAAGTATCATATGATTTTTAATTTTTTAAAAAAATTTATAAATTTGATCTATACATGAAAAGCTTTTTTATTTAACAATTAAATTTTTAAAAATTTGATATAGAACATTAATTATTAAGTAGAATAAATCTATCAAGACTTACTCTTGAAGTAAGTAAATTTTTTCTTCATTAAAAATGAAGATAATTTTACCACAAAATAAAAAACAATTAAACAATAAAATAAAATATATAAAAAATTAATGTATTTATTATATTAGATATAACAACATAATTAGAATATAATTAATAACATATATTTTATAAAATTATTAATATTTTATATATAAAAAAAAGAATGAAAAAAATTTTAGTGGGGCAAGTGCCCCCACTATGATTAACTTAGATCCGTCCCTGCATGTGGTTGTGTGGTGAAATGTTAGTCTTGTGTATTCTCTTCCTTTACTTCAGATTCTACCTCTTCAAGAACATGTTGTTGTTGTTGGGGTACATTGTTAATGACTTCAAGGAAAAATATCATGTCATCTCATCCTTTACTGTATAATGTCAATTTGGTAGTAAGTGGTTCAGTCTAGTTTGACTAACAATGAAATAAAATTTGTTACCATTATCTTTAGTAATACACTGCATTGTCCTTAATGATATACTGTATAGTCCAACTGTTTAGCAATTGAAGTTATCAATTTCCATTGACAATATTACCAAATCCAGTGTTTGAAATGCTTTGTACCTTGGGTCTTTTCCTTCCACGATTCACAACCGTGAACTATAATCATTGACCGTTTGTGTTTAGTAGTCTGGAACCAGAACGGCCTGTTCTGGTTACACTCTTAGTGTGTTAATTTTGCACCTGGAACGGGTCATTCCGGATGCAAAATTAACACACCAAGAGTGCATCTAGAACGGCCCGTTCTGCTTTCAGAATAGGCCGTTCTGGTTCTAGGTATTTTAAAAAATTCTAGGTGCAAAATTAACACACTAAAAGTGCAACCAGAACGGGCCATTCTGGTTCCACAATGGGCTGTTCTAGTTCCAGGTGTTTTCAAAAAATTTGGCATCCACGTGGCATCCACCTATGCATCTACGTGGCATCCACGTGGTCAATAGTTAATTCTGTTTAAATAATTTGGACGAAAGTCCCACATTGCAACCAATAAATTTATTAAGAACTAAATTGAGATCAAAAATAAAAATGAGACTAAATAAAATATTATTTTTGGCATTATTATACATGTACATCAAAATTGTCTCTTTTGGGAATTCACCAACGAACTCTTGTGTTGCGCCCCTCATTCTGTAGGTGAACTCGAGATGTCCCTAACCAGACAGTCAAACTCAAAAGTCAAAACTACCAGTTGCCCACTAGTAAGTAAGTAACTACTAACTACTGTAACTCTATATAAGTGTAGAATCTCCAGAACCACCACCAAAGCAACTTCCACTTTTGCACTCTCTAACTTCACTAACAAACTATGCACCAACAACCAGAGGCCACTCTCTTACTTTGATTCAGTAAGCAACACGGAGCATGGCATTGCCACTAGAGTGGTACGATTTGGTGTGTTTTGCCATTGTTGGTGTGGCCTTCCTAGGTGCTTTATGGGTGCTTTGGATGAACGAGGGTGCCTCCAAAGGCGATTTTGGCACCTTAGATGAGACCCTTCTTCTGGTGGGTCGACCAGAAAATAGAGTGGTCGTGAATGTGGTTCTAAAAGGCAGAGCCATAGGTCCCGTGAGAAACACGCAGTTATGGACCAGCTGTTGGAGAGGGGTGCACCCTTTGTGCCTCTTGGCTACTCGTTTTCTTTCCTTTCTCATCATGGCTGTCTTGTTACCGTTGGATGTTCTTGAGTACGATCCTACCATCTTTCTTTACTATACTGAGTATGTTATTTCATTCCAATTTGCGCTTTCTTTTTTCATTAATAATGGTGTTAGGCTTAGGAATCTTATCTTATTTTTTGCAATCTAGAAAAAATAATCACTAGAGATGTGGACGGGTATATCATGGATTGAGAGTTGGTTGACGGTTTACGACAAATTATCAGATTTTTTGAATAAAATGGGGACATATATTTTTTTAGTTTTAAGTTTGGGAAGCTGATACCATCCTTACATGAAAAATAGGAAGTAGATTTTAAAAAAATAAATAAATAAGTGCGTGCTGAGTCTGCGGACAGTTAGTCTTGAATCTAGAGTCTAGACCAATAAAAAACTATGACAGATCGACTGTGATTAAATTAAATCATAAGTCTCAAACAAGTGATGTATGGATTCGTGCAAACTGCTGGCCAATCAATAAAGCATCAAAATTTACAATAGAGAATGAAGAAAATAAAAAATAAAAAATATCCTAAAAATAGTATAATATCTCTGACTTTAGACGATGAATCCTCGATCCAATGTTGAAAATGAAAAAACCAAATGTCTTGAACTTCCTGAGGAAATTTTAGCTCGATTTAATGATTAACGAATCTGGAAATGCAGTTTCACGCAATAATTGCTATGTGAATAAGTAAAAATGGCTTTTATTCTTTTCTCTCAATGGTATATTCTCCATTGAAATAGACCTCTGTTTCATGTGGCCTAAAAACAAGACTTCTCTCCACTTAAATAACTGAGACAAGAAGTAAATTCTATATTTTGGGTCTTTGTCCGCGTAGGAAGTGAGTACAATATCCTAACACAAGGTTTATGAATATTGAATCTAATTGCATTTTTGTTCATGTTTACCACATAAATTCTGTTCTGCTAAGTGCTAATGGGTTGGGGCAACTTATGGTCTTGAATTTTCATCTCAAGTTTGTGGTCAACATTTGAAAAAAAAAATCAATTATTTCTCTTTTAGAAGGGAAAAACTTACAGTTGTTTTGAATCCCAGGGAATTGTAGGAAGTAGTTAGTTTTGGTCAACGGTTCATGCTCCTGTTCTGTCTTCCAGCTTTGTATTTCAGCAGGCCTCTTTCTCCCTCCTTAGCCTCTAGCCCCAAGATATCTTGAAACTCCAAAGTTTGTAGTGTCTTGTCTTCCACAAATCCACCTCCACCAACCAAGAGCCCCTTCAATTGTCTTAATTGATCCCATCGTCTCTTTCATTTGTAGAAGGGGATAGCCGAAAGCCCTTTGTCTCCATCATTTAATGTCAAACGGTGAAGACAGTGAGGGCTATAGGTACTGGCTTCGATGGCAAGTGCCTATCTGTGCTTTGATCCTCATTGCCTCTGTCAAAACAGCCTCAATGCACATTGTAAAGGCCAAAACACAGCCCTTGTATTACAATCACTTGTGGATTCCCTGTTGGAGAAAACTCAGTCCTGTGTGGCTTTTCTTGTGTAGAGCTTTCGCATTCCTTTGCCTGGCTCGTATGCATTTTGATATTATTGCCTTGGATGGAGCCTTTTCTTTCTATTTTTATACTCAGTAAGATCATTTTCCCCCCTTTCTTTCTATTGTTGCCCCTGAGATACATGATCCTGTTTCCTTGGAAGGCAAATTATCTTATGACTATGTAATTTAAGGAATCAATTTACCTGTCCAAGGAACTCGTATTATTCTTGTTCGTTGACCATGGAGAGGACACCATTTGATTTGATCTTTTTGCATATATTTGCAGGTGGACTTTCACATTAGTTATGATATATTTTGCGGTAAGTCAAGCACTACCATCTAAATTTTTTTAATTAGGAGCTAAGATGCCTAGGAAAATCACATGTTCTTGGGAATCAGGAGTTATGACTAATGCATTACAAAGGTGTATAAAGCATTTATTTGTTTTATCTAATTAGCATCTACTTTGTGTTTGTATTGGTTTTTGAATGCAGTTGGGGACAATAATATCTGCACATGGATGTTGGCAGTACTTAAACAATCCTCCGATTGAAAATGGGGAAATGGCTGAGTTTCTGAGAAGGGAATTGGAAGAGGGTATGTCTACAAACACTATTGCCTATAAAGAGAATGAAACAAAAGGTTCCATCAGGTTGCAAAGTCAATATGTTGAAGAGGAGTTTAAACAAAGAGTAGGATTCTGGGGTTACCTCATGCAGATTACCTATCAGGTTGGTCAAACCCATACTAGATTCCAATTTTCCTCCGGAAAATATCGTGAAAATCGCTAGTTGATGATGTGTTGTTTTAGCTGAGATTAGCTGATAAGTGATATCCACATTGAAATATACCATGGTAGTAGTTCCCCAGTTTATGCATATCCTTTTTGGGCCTTTATATGTAAGCTACTGCTTTTAGTGAGTTGATTTATCTTGCTGTCTTCATCTCCTTTGATTGATATTGTAAGGGTTAGCAGTATTTTTAGTATCAAAAAAATGAGTCATCTTTGATTTTAATCTCTGACTTATAAAGCTATAAATTTGTTTCTGTATTTTCGAACTCTTCAAACTTTAGTCTCTAAAATCACAAGTTTTCGTCCCTTACAGTGTAAGCTTTAGAGACTAAATTTTATGTATTTCAAAATAGAGACTAAACTTATGGTTTTAAAAGTCAGAGATTGAAACCAAAGATGATCTATTTTTCGAGGACTAAACCCCATAAACCCAATTTGTAAGCACAGAACTAGCTATTACGAAAGAAAGAGA